TTATTTTATTTTATTTTATTTTATTTTATTTTATTTTATTTTATTTTTTGAATGGCAGAAAATATACCCTGTCTAACTTTCAAAGAAAGTATTGCTATTCCATTCACTTAATCCTCTTTCTACAATTACATTAAAATTTTATTTAAGGGAAGCATTTGGATAAGGGGATTCGACTTTTAAGATTGCTGAAGTCATACTTGAGAAAAAAAAAAAAAAAAAAAAGACAATATGAGCAGCATTTGCTCAGAGAAGATCCAAAAATGGAAATGTATTGACATTTTGTTATTCTGTATTATACAATTAATCAAAGCTTCAGCATGAAAACTGAGCAAAACATATCCAGTTTCATCAAAACTTTTCAACTCCTTTTTAACGAACTTTAAAGTAGTCACAATATATGGAATGCAAACCTTTTCAGGATCTCAGGTTGGTATTTTCTGAAATCATGTTTGATCTAGTCAGCATTTCACCACTCTGTGAGGGACAACATTTTTGCTCTCAAAAAGGTTAAGAGGTGTTACTCAAAAACCAAAACAAACAGCATTGACTATAAAGGCCACTCACAGTTTTCTTGAAAGTATTTTAACAGCTATTTATTTAGATAATTAGCAACTAATTGAAGCACTTTACATTCCAGAAGTGTGCTTGAAGAGATAACATGCTTTTCTAGAAGCAGGAGCACAATTCTGTGTCATTCATTTGCCAGACTATTACTTGATTATCTGCTAACTCATGCAATCTGGGCTTAGTCTTCATCAGCAGCTCGTAAATGTCTTACTTCTCACATAGTGAGTTACTAGCCCATTAGGGTTTTAAAATGGATGTGTGTGTTTGAAGGCAAATATCATCTGGAACTGAAGATATGGTAGTATCTTCACGGATTTGAATTGTGACATCATTTCAGGGAGAACAGATGGGAGAAGATGAGATTTAAAATATTTATTCAAGTACTTTAATTTGCCAGTGAATACTCACAGGACGTATTTGTCTGGAAAAAAAAAAAACAAAAACAAAAACAAAAAAACTTAAGTAGCTAAAGGTATGAGATGCCTGTAAATTCAGCTTGTTAAACCAGCAAATTCATCACTGACACAATCCTTGTATGCAAACAAGCTGAGTATCATTTGTTTCTCCAGGAACTCCTGTTCAGTACAGCAGAATGTGTTGGAGAATGGATGCTGTATGTATATAATCATTTTAATTTACACAGAGAGTACCAGTTCTGATGCAAGCCCTTAATATCTTTGCTTACTATACTTTGGCTTGCATCACAAAGCAGTTTTGGATAACACAAACATTTGATTTGGTTGAAGCAACAACTGAAAAAGTTATTCTAGTAGCCCATCTCACCAACTATAACCAGTAAAGTACATTCAGTCCACAGGATCAGAAGAAAGAGAGACAATGTTACTCTCTCCTTTTAAAAAAATATAGTACACATTTAAAAGCATTAATTAGTATCACTATTCACTGCTACTGTGTTCTTCCAGTTAGCGCAGCCCAAGTTACTGCTTTGAGTAGGTGGCCAATACACATTTTTAATTCTTCTGGTAGGAACATACTACTACCACTAACATAAATGTTAAAAAGTATCTGAATACTTCTAAGTAGAGGTTTGTTGGAAACTCATAAGTATCATGGATTGAAACTTCCGTGTCAAAAGGTCAACCTGTACTGAAGTTCTCCTGAACAAACACTGAATAATTACAAATTACTATGCTATATGTTTTCAAAATGCAGCACAGACTATGTATACAGCGGTGCAAACACTGACGGGAATTATCTGTACAACTAAAGAATAGAAAAGGAAGGAGGGAGGGAGAGGAGGAAAGATTAAAAAACAAGTAGAAAATCCTCTTGCATTACAGGCATTATGGTCCCAAACTTAATGAAAAAGTCTATCTTCCTTTAGAAATCCAAACTTTTAGATGTTGAAATTGTATTACTGCATTTTCAGAAAGTGAAAAGCATGTTCTACGGATACATGTTGACATTCAGCATGTTGAGTGGAATTTACAACTTACACAAAATATTTATTAGCAGTCCGGAAAAATGGAAGTGCATAAAATTGAGATTGGCAGCTCTACCAGCTGTTATCTCAACTTGCAACTGCCAAAGACAGATCTAACAGCACAAAAATAATTCAAGTACTTCCCAGTTTTGCTGAGGTAGTTATCACACTGAATATACTGAAACGCAGTTTGACTATATTGACCTACATTATCATAATTTCACTTTCTACCGTACTTGAAGAGATAGACATAGTAGGGTTGGAACCAGCCATTCAAATTTATAAAACTCCTGTCTCCTTATCTATCTTATCTGTTTATCTTTATCATTTAAATATTCCAAACCAAAAGCTTTGATCATGCATTTTAGAAGTTGGCTTATTTTTTTTTTTATCATTCATTGTTAATTCTGCCTGTCCTCAACGACAAACTACTTACACGCAAGCCGAAGTAGAGTAGGAAGAACACATTGAAAGCCATGTCAATCTGTAATGTGAAATCTTTGTAGAAATTCTGGCAGGATTCTATTGGGCTATTTGAAAGAAAAAGAAATCAGAGTAAATTGTCAGTATATGAGTTTCTGTTCTGGTGAGATTTTAATGCATTTCATTTTAAAACTTGATTCAGAAATTACTTTTTTTTTTTTTTTTTTTTTTTCTTCTCTCCAGTCATTTACAAGATACAAGCAAGCATTTCAAATGAATTACTTCATTCAGTCAGTTAGTCATTCATACAGTCTTAATATTCACCTGTTCAGGTAATATCTGAAAATTAACATGCAGATACCTTCAAGAAAAGACAAGCAGGAAAATACTTTAGGATTCCTTAAATCCATATTAACCCTTAAAGAACTGACTTCTTTCTATAGCATACATGCCTACGACATTTTAGGAAGAAATCTGACGTGCACAGCTACAGTGAAACTTTATGTTTTAAATTTACGCTTTGATGTAAAAACTTTAAAAAAGAGAAGTAGCTGTTTAGGAATGTACTACTCATTAGCAACCTGGGGCATTAAGTCTTATAGAATCAGTTGTTTACAGTAAGCTTTGTTTTACTTTTTTTTTTTTTTTTTTTTTTTTTTTTGTTTTTACTATTTATGTACTTGATATACAGTACTATAAAGCTGAGTAGAAAAGCAGCATAGCCCACTGTTAAAGTTATACAGGAAAACAAATAGAATAATTTGAAGCAGTACTGTAAGGGTTAATTTCTGCATGCAGGTTATTTAAACACCTTTCTATATATCAGGCAGCCATTGCAAATTCTTGCTTACTATATTATGCTTTATTTAACAGTGAGACAGGTCCAAAGCATACTCTATACAAACTGGTACTTAATAAATACACTTTATCTAAGGAAGAAATAAATTCCAGAAGTGGAATTAGTGATTTATTTGTGTAGTCAAACAGGTCGGTGAAGCCATAGAACAATGTTGAAGCTACAGACTTACAGAAGTGAAAGTCATGTCCCAATATATGCCGATGTATATACTACATATACATATGATGTCCCACTATATATACATACATGTACACACATATATTGCAAATGATCATGTATTCATCATAACTAATAAAGTGGAGGACTAGAATGTGGATCACTGGAAACCTAGAAAATATTCTATGAGGAAAGAAATTCTTTGGCTTCACAGGTCAAATAAATCACTGAATGTGACTGTAATACCAGTTAGTATAGCTGCAGGTCTGCAAATATAATGCTAGACTGCTCAACAAGCAAGATTCTATGTGTTATGAAGGTCAGTTACCTAATATAAGGCATAAAGGAAATAACAGGGGCTAATAGGCCATTACACATGCAGCCAAGTTTCCCATTCCTTGTATACATTACAGGTCAAACAAGTTAAGTACAGCATGCCCTCTTTTGGCTTTAGATGCAGGAATGCATACAGCAAATTCTTCTTGATGTACAATAGCTTTATAATTTAAGAAGCCACAGTGACACAGGAAATTGTATTAAAATGTTGAAAAAAAAACTATAAAGACATTGTAGCTATGAAATATTTCTGTTATAGATCAAATAAAATTGATTTAGAAAAACAGGCAGAAGGGAAGCCAAGTTAACATATAGGATAGAAAACAGCATCTTGTACTTTACAAACACAGTTTTTGCTACAGAGAATGAAATCCAATAAACCAGAATGCTCGGTTTCTGTATGGCATTATAGAGAGTAAAGTATTTTGTTAAAATAAAGAAGGCTACACATTGAGTCACTATGCACCCTATCAACAGGTACCACAGGAAGCACAACAAAAGCAGAATGAACAATCCAGTATCTACAGAGGCTGGGATCCCTAACTCAAGGTTAAGTACCTGTAAAAGCCCCAGATACTCAGTGGAGTTAACGGATTTGCACAAACTTTTAACTCCAATAGAGATAGCTTCATTATCTTTAACAGCTATTTGGTATTTATCACGAATGTTAATAAGTTCAGCTAAGGTTGCAGCTAACTGCTCTTCTTTAGCACCACTGTCCTTTACAAAAACTACAAAATCTCACAAATTAGTTAATATATAATATATAATCATCATGTTTACAAAATACTTAGTAGTATTAGCCATTCTTAACAATGGAACACAATCCCAATTTTGCACTGCTGTTTACCAGTAGCTCTGGTGAGCTAATCTCACTGTTAGTTCTCTTCCTAAGGCACCCTTCATTTCAGATATTGTCCCTCTTTTCAATTGCTAAATTTCTAGATAACAAATTCAATGTCCTATCCTTTTTATTTTAAATAAAGATTGTCAGAAAGGCATGTCACTAAGTCTGAAGAAATCTTTCTTTATACACACTGGATAGTGGATGCATTTTGCTTTCCAAGTTAAATTTGGTGACACTACTCACCAAACTTGGATTGTTTGTTTTCATTTGTACTTCACATTTGCGATGAGAAAAAAATACAGCTACTAATCTTTACCAATGCACTAATCAGCATTCTGCAAAAAAGGAAGCCAATCTGAAATCCCTTTGCACTAAGTTTCCCAAAAACTAAAAAGCTATAGTTCTTGCAATACTAGGCAGATGTGAGCTAGGATCTCCAGGATATTTCCTGTTGTGTGCTATAATCAGATGGTTTTTCCTATGGGATTTCACCATTTTAGGCCAGCAGAGGTTTCACCTTAAAGGAGGCAACACTGTTAGAACCTTTGTTTTTCTACTATGTATGTGTGGTTCATTTTAAGTGCAGTTTCACATAGGTATGCTGCTAAAGTCAGGAGAAACTACAGTAAAAATCAATGGAATAACATTACAGTAACAATGTGGAAGATGTAATATATAAAACTTGTAGAAGTAACGTAAATGTAAATGCAAAGTACATTTGATTTGAAGCTGATGGCTTTATTCAGGTCAATGTTTATATAAAATTATTCACCATAACTGTGAACTAACATTTAATACAAAAGCTCTATATAGACTGCTAACAGTGGAGTTAGTTTACTCAATCAGCAGTAAAGACAGAGCTTTACCTTTGTTTGCCAAGCATGGGCAATCCCTCTATTAATTTTCTTTTCTCATGCTCTTTAAACATTGTTACTCATCCCAGTTTCACACTGAAACTTTATTTACCTGTTCTGTTTATTATTACAGTATTTTTATGGCAATACGAGTCTTTAAAAGCCCAGTAATAGAAGTATCATAGGTATAAATCCATTCACTGAGCAGGAACAAACTGCATGAGAATTAAGAAAATTGCTCTAATTTAAACAGATGAGTCTAAATTTTGATATTTCCAGCTCCATTAAACCTTTTCTGCAGCAGGTATAGAAGCTGGCACTATGGAATGATTTTACCACAGCTGAGCAAACAAATGAACCACAGTTTTATTTTACTCCACAAGAACTTACCAGTTTTCAGTTAGTTACTGCGGTCACTAATTCCTATATACTTTTTATTATTCTCACTTATTTCTGGTTAGTTTGAAATGTTTCTAAAGCATTTGGAACAGTTCTGCTGGGGTTATTCTCTGTATAGTCATAGAACAAGTGGGAGAGGGCAAAAAATTGCATGCATTTTAATGCTTTCTCAAATTACTCGTTTCCACAAGAATACACATATGCAACTTCCCACAGAACTCTTCAGAAAATGTTTCCAGTATTCTGGAAAGCAACTAAGCTGAAAACCTCATGCGTATTTTTTCTGTATCATTTCATTTCTTGATAGATGCTGCACAGCTCATTTTTAATCACAGCTCAAAGCCTGGGCATCATATATCAATTTGTGCTACAGTGCAATCACTGTCATGAATACCACATAGAAGTAAAAGGAAACAATTCTGTTAATCTGTTAATTCAGAATTTATGCCAGTGTTGTGCATATCCAACTCCGTACTCGAAGTAACCACCCAATATGCAATCTTCATGTCTGTATTCCAGTCCTCCTATGTAAGGAAGTGGACTTGTGTTTTGGATACATCATCATGTCCTCCCATCCCTTTCTCTTAATGGGAAGACCTACAAGACGATCCTTACTGTCATATTAATCTGGTTACAATTTACAAAAGATTTTGATGATAAGTAACGCTATGCAAAAGATACATGCAACTCCTTAAAGAAAAATGACTTGTCCTGCAATTTCAGCAAAGACCAATACTAAAAGATGTTAGTATCACACAGGCTTCTGCACCTTTAGAACTTTAAGAAGTTATTGAAAACTTTAGAAATTGAGAAAATTGTTCTAAAATAATGTCTTAATTTTTGAAAGCAAACTTATCTTCTAAATAGAAGTAGAGAAAAAGCTAAGTCCATAATTACAATTGCAAAAGGTATAATATAATAAAAAGTTAATTAAATAATATGTAAAATTGAGAAATTTGGAACGAAAATAAACATCGTTACAAGCTTAATTTGTCTGAGAAATAAAACATCATACTATGACATTTAAATTTTCATTGTTCATGAAAATTCTTAGTTTGCCCATTACACGAAAAAATAGAATGTTCACTTTCTTTTAGAAAAAAAGAAATTCAATGATGATATTGAATTTTAAGATCAAGCGATAACTATGTAATGAAATACCAGTAGAGATGGCTGAAATACAATCAGCACACATAAATAAAGGAGAGAAATCACTGAATATATAAAAGTTCTTTAGTATCTTATCACTTGAAGACATTCCACCCACTTGGTGATTTCAAATTCGTAATTAAGATCTACTAGCTTGGGTACAGAAATTCTCTTTGTTCACACAAAATTGCCTTAAGTAATCATTTACTCTTAGTTCCCAAAATCTTTTACTTTAAGATCATCTGTGATACTATTTTCCCTCATATTTATTTATACAGGAAAAAAAAAAAAACCAACAACGTTACAAATTCTAGAATTAAAAAAAAAAAATTCGGCACAAATTTGATATGATAGTGTCCATTCATACCCCTTTAATACATGTTTTTAACAATACAAGGAAGGTAGATTATGGGGGTTATGGTTAGCTAATTAACTGCATTTCAATAACACAGTGACTAAGTACAAAATCAAGGAGAAATCCAGCTGTACCATTTACTAAAGTAAAGT